CCAAAGTGCCGGGCCAGGCCAAAGTGCCGGGCCAGTTACCTGGCATGATGGAAGAGTGCGTGTGGTCTCCCTGCCATCTGGGCGGCCCTGCAGACCCTCGTGTCTGGGACCTACTCCTCCTCTTTTTTGGATGCAGATCATGTGCCAGTTTGAACTTACTGTGAAGCTTGTAGCACCATAGCTATCGAGTGCCTGAAATGCCAACCCTTGGCCCGGGCAGTCTAACAAGCAGCGATGACAAGTTTGACTCTGATGTTACAGCACAGTCAAACGCTTGAAGTTGACCATCTTCCTTGGGGATGACATAAACCTTAACCCAACTGAAGTGGAACGCAGCCATCTTCCACGGGCCCAACCGTAATGTATATCTATCCATCCATTTTCCATAAGCGGCCTGGAAGTTATCCCAGGAAGCAGAGAGCATGAGGCAGGGGACAGGCGCTACGGACGATTTAGCAACACTAATTCATTCACCCGCATGTCTGTGGACTGCAGAGGAAACCAGAGAAACTGCAGGAAACCTACATAACATGGAGAAAACATGCAAATTCTACAAATGAGTGACTCTAGTACCCTGCAGCTGTGCTAGAGAACTGCTTGCATAACCACTATGGCCTGTTTCTTATGTGGAAGCAGATAAAGCGACAACTATTCAATTAATTACTGAATTGTTTTTTTGCATGTGCTTAATTTAATATAGTTGTCAGGCACTATATTATACACAGAAAAAAATGCTACATGCAACATGATTTATTTAGTTGGCAAGTAGCAAAGCGAACACATCTGAAGATAATAGACATAGAAATGCCTGGTCTGCACATATGTACCATTCAAACAAACTGAAGAGATACTGGAGAAAAGGCATTGCTAGCAGTCACCATAATTAAACCTGACTCACACATTCATACTCAATTTAAAACTTTTGAAAATAAATAATAATGTAATCATGTAATGTGGAAACTTAAGACTGAGTTTCAGGCCATAAAAATAGTGAGTATGATATTATTGTTTTGCAGTTGTTAGAATATAGTGATACTTGCAATAATATGACATATATGTTTAAGCCTTTCATTATTTCCGGGAGCATAGATAGAAATTCAGACCCCCCTGGTAAAATAGGCTCCAGTAGATTTTTCACAGACCCCACATGTTACATTTTGGAGCCCCTATAGGAGTGCTGAGCCGCTGAATCTGCCAGGGTATCCATGCCCTTCCAACGGCCCTGATTATTTTAATCTTATGTACTATACTTACATCAATTATGTGTATATTGTCTTTATAGGGTAGGTATATAATCAGGTAATATTTTTTGTAACATGTTACATTTAAATTATTACAATTGTGGCAATTTCACATGTCACATAGAGTTATTATAACCAAAGTGTGTTATGAGGTAAAAATGAAAAATGCGTAGTTTTCTCCCAGTTTCACAGATGCATTGCTGAAGCTGCAAAGGGGACTGGTGCTGAAACTTGGCAAGAGTTTCCCCGCAAAATGCATTTCAGCGCCAGCTGCCAAGTCTGCTTTATGTCTATGCTGCTGCAGTTGAAAATCTCAGTCTGACACAGCGACAAGCAAATAAACAGAATGAACGAGAAATCAAGAGCCAGAGAGAGAAAAATGTGAGATGAAAGTGGCAGATAAGGCAGGGAATGGGATGCGGGGCCAAGAGTATGGCAATGGGATGGGGTCACTGGAAGCCCAGCACTCATGCTAATTAGCTAATTATGTGTCAGGTGGGGAACAAGAGAAAAGCCATATAGGAGCAACAGATACAATAACAGCAGTCAAATACATCAGAACAGTTAAACAATGTCATCTGTAGCATGCTTTAAAGGTGTTGCAGTTCATGTTTCCTATCGTTATATCATTATAAATTATTTTCAAAATACTTAATGGAGTGAACACAAGGTAAAACATGGCTTGATGATATTAGCTGGAAATAAGTACAATCCCAGCTAACAGGGAACATTCCCAAAACTTTTAGCCAACGTTATTCAACGTCAAAGTTGGCAGAGAACGTCAACATGATAATATTATCACCTGAACATCCTTTCAAAGCAACAAAAATGCTATATAGTAAAATATTTTTGTAACAGTGCTATAAGTGTCTCTTCGGGGAATCCTTGGGTACTTCTAGTTTGACTTTGTGTCGAAAGAGCAGTTGCTCAGGGAGTCCCAAATGTGTTCTGAGGGAGTGTCAGTTATGGCACTACGGCCATGAGATGCAACTCGATTCCCTGCAGGTGACCCTTCTTGCCTCATTGCTGAGGACCTAAGTGACTGGACCAGCCAAGGGGACACCCACATAACACCTGGCTGCGGCAAATAGACGGCCATTTCCGGAAGGTGGGACTGGACCACATGTTGGCTTGGGGGGCTGCCAACTGTGATCCCAAGGAGTTTTGTTTTGTAGCGGGTGTGGCAACACGCTGTACCAGTGTATGCTCTCCAACCTGACCTGACCTATAAGTGTATGCCTACTACAAACATGTGACCAAGCCTTAAACCCATGATCTTTGATGTATAAAGTGTTTTTTGTCTTAGTTGTAGTAGTAGAATAACGTTTCCATACCTTACTTGTAACACTCAGAAAACGCTCCTAGTAATAAAAATTGCTAGCAGGGGTGGGTATGTGCTATATCCAGATGTAGCATAACTGTGTGGTTCAGTGGGTTAGGACACTGCCAGTGACCAGAAGGTTCCTTGTTCAAATGCCAGGATTGACAGAGTGATGTATCCCTAAGGCCTCTAGCAAGGCATTTAACCCCCAACTGGTCAGTTGTTATAATGGGGGAAGCACAGTGTCAACACCTGGCAATATGACCAAAAATGTTTTGTTTTTTTATTTTAGTCAGTCAGCTACTTATATATGTAAATGCTGCTCTTGTTTCTTTTAGCACATAATGATTTATTATTCTGTCATAGCAGCATGGCTCCTTCTCAAGCGATTC